GGAAGAAGGGAATTAAAATGTTTTGTAAGCCCCCAGTTTCCATCAGCTGGGTACAAACACTTTATTCTTGTTTCCAATGAAACTCCGTGGATAGTTTCAAGGTGATAAACGTCCACTGTTAATCATCTCACCTGGCACTTTTGAGTGTTCATCCTGCAGATCTCAAAACACTTTACAAACCTCCAGCAAAGGCTGCCTAAAAGTTCTGGAAAAGTTTTCCCGAATGTTATCAGCAATACATAGACAGAAAGAAAGAAAATAAATAATTTTTTTTAAAAAAAATCACAGCAAATATTTTTCCATTATATTAATAATGGAATTATATTAATAATGGAAATCCACTTATATTAATAAGAGGGACATCCACTGAAACAAAATCAGTTGTAAAAAAATACACAGATTATGTGGGAGATTATGTTTTTATAGTTTAAATAAACCACACATGGGAAGAAGAAAATTGCCATCCCTCATTCCCAGGGATGAAAAGGCAGCTTGTGACACGTCCAAAGTGAAGCAGAGAGGGGATGCTCAGAGCTTGAGGCCCACACCAATGCATCAGATCATGGGAAGCTTAGGTGAGCGCTGTCAAGCACAGTTTTATGTTTTGTGACACAATGAACATCTCTGAACTCAGTGAAGAAATTGTCACAAATTGGGCAAGGATTTTTTTTTCCCCCCTATTTTCTATTTTCCATTTCTTCTTTGGCTCTGAGATAAAACTGATGAATAAAAAGACCTCTTTGAAATAAAACATCACGGGTGTTCCCAACTAATTTTTCCTTCAACAGCTTCTACTCTCAGTGAAGAGAGCAGAAAAGCGGAAGAAGAGTGTAATGTAGTATTTACTCCTTAGTGGAGGAGGAAACACTGTTTCTTTCAGTAGCCAAGTTCTTTAGGCCCTGTAAAATTCCAGATGTTCCTCAAACACCTGGAATGTCACAGGAGCAGGAGGTGTGGAGAGAGGAACCAGGAACCAGCAGTAGCTCAGGGCAGGCACAAAGCCCTGAGGAGCAGAATCCATCCAGCTGCAGACCTGCAGGAATTCTGTGGCACAAAAACCCAGGGAAGCCAGGGATAGGAGGATGGGAGCAAAAGGCTTTCCACAAAGATGGGAAATCCTGGGATATGAAGGGCAGATGGGTTGAAAGAACCTCTACAAAGTTCCCCTCACAAACATCCTTCAGACCAGGAGACTTTTTCAGGAGCCAGCACTTCCACGGAGCCCCACAAAACAAATGTGCTGGCTTAGGGAACTCTGAAACCACGAATTGAGGGGTTCTTTTCAGCAAGTTCAATATTTGGAGTTTAGTTCCATCTCTGTAGCCACCTTCTGGGGAACTTTCATTTTATTAAGTTTGAAATATAAACCAAAGTGGTTTTACCTTCCCAGGGCTTAGTTTGGCCAGACAAAAAGAGACAAAGGTGCGGGAATGGCCGGGAAAAGCAGGAATGGCCGGGAAAAGTGGGAATTCCCGGGAAAAGCGGGAATTCCCGGGAAAAGCGGGAATTCCCGGGAAAAGTGGGAATTCCCGGGAAAAGCGGGAATTCCCGGGATATTCCCCAGCATCAGGGATCTGGTGTCACCTGGCGGTCGCATCCCGAAAAGACACCGGGAGCGGGGAATCCCAGGAAAGCGCCTGGTCCAGCCTTCCCACCTCCTCTGGGAAGGTAAAAC